CGAGTTTTAAAACGAGTGCGCGGTACCACCAGCAGTCTCTGATCTAATGACCTTAAAGCCTGAGAAGATGTATGTGGTTTCAGCAGGTCAGATAAATATTGAGGAGCCTGACCATGTAGGGCCCTAAAGGTTAGAACTAAAATTTTTAAATGAAACCTAAAATTTACAGGCAACCAGTGAAGGGAGGCAAAAACTGGAGTGATATGCGATCTTCTCTTGGTGCCTGTTAAGAGACGTGCTGCAGCATTCTGCACAGTCTGAAGACGATTTAAGGCTGATTTGTTAAAACAAGTAAAAAGGCCATTACAATAGTCTAAACGAGAAGAAATAAAAGCATGAATAATCATCTCAAGTTCAAGCTTTGATACCATTAGTCTGAGTTTAGAAATATTCCGTAATGCGTCTCTTCCAGTCTAACCTCTCCACCACCTTGGGCAAGACCAAAGATGTGTCAAAGGACATCAGGGACACGACTGTAGAATAAAATGCTGACATCCAAATTAATTTCTCACTTCTTTAGTTGATATTCTGTCTCTCTCCTTTAAAATGAAACTACCATAAAAATTAGCCGCTGTTCATTTCTTTGTAAATGAGCGAACTTGCAATTTAGGCAGGGATCAAATAATTATTCCCCCCACTGGGAGTCCTCAGACTTATGTGTAAAACTTTGCTATTTTTGGTCATTATCGCCTGTTAGGTTTATTAGTGGCTACTTCTGGCTTCTTTACATGTTTAAGCTAACAGCTATGTTGTCTTTGGCTGGGAAGCCAATGATGTATCAGATATTTCTTCTGTTCTGACACCATCCCAGTTGGGTTAGATAGATAGAGCTTCCTCAAAAGTTTCCATGTTATGCTTTTCTCTATTAGGCAAAAGAAGAGTAGTTTCATGTGTCAGAGGTTTCAAATATCTATTTACTCAAACTACAAAAGCAGGCAGTTAGCAGGAACAGCACGCCTGCTAATTTGTCTGTGCTCATGTGCAGGAGAGCAAACAGGAAGAAATTACAAGCTGTACAAATCTCTGTGATGGACATTTCAGCATTGCAGTTATATAAATACAAAGCAGGATGTTCCCTGTTTTTTTTATTTGAATGAAGCTGTCATGTCCCAGCCAGTCCATGTAAGGAAAAGACGTTATGCTTTTGAACGTAAAAGAAATAAATTGTTCGATGTGGGATAATTAGGCCTTGAAATGCTTCTCCTTATTTCTAAGGTTGTCAGACATTATTGTGTGTTCACTTTTCTGGGAAAATGTCTCAAATTCAGACCCTGGTCTGCAAACTACTAAGCTAAATGTTCTGCTTCAGACAGTTTGTTCCCTCTTGGCTTTATATGATGTGTTTAATATGGCGATCTGTGAGCACAGAAGCCCCACCCTCCTCCTGCCTAGTCTTTCTGTTTATATGAGGACAGCCAATCAGCTAATCAGACATTTGGCTTGAGGGAAGAGGAACCAAAAAGTACTTCTTCAGAAAAGGTAACTGAGGATTATTTAGAACTGTGAATCAGTTTCTCAGCTTTGCTTTGTGTCAATCAAAGCTGTGAGTAAAAACAGTCACCTATACAATCTTAAATTATAACGGTTAGAAAGTGACTATGGGCAAGATTTGAGGAAGTTTGAGGAAAATAAAGCAAACATCTACACGTCCTTCAGCATGCGCCATGTGGTCTGTGACTGCATCTTTTATGATGATTTACTAATCAGTAAGGACATTTGTATTGAAGAAAAGGTTGAAAATTTAGCAGTTTTGCAATGTTTGTTTAAGTTGTTTTCCAATATAAATGTGTATTTTGAACAGGGCTTCTTTGAGGAGGAGGACGGGAAGGAGTACATTTACAAAGAACCCAAACTGACCGGCCTGTCCGAAATCTCCCAGCGGCTGCTGACGCTCTACGGGGAAAAGTTTGGGCCAGAAAATGTCAAGATAATTCAAGACTCAAATAAGGTACGGTAGATAAATGGAGGAAGGAAAGGGTGGGAGACGGTTGGAATACTTTAATTGGCAGGCTCCTGTTTTTGTGGAAAGCAGAAAGTAGCAGAAATAGAAATAATTAATTTGGCAGTGAAGCCACACTCGGGTGTTTGCTCAGAAAATCATCTGTCCAACATAAAGTGATCAGTTTCCACCCCGTGGATTTTCAATGAAGTCCCAGTTGGTGGTTTTAAAGACTGTTTCTTTGTCTGCTTTTGATTTCAGAAGAATTCAGTGGGTTATCTAGTGATCTTTCTTTCTTTTTTTTTGAGAAATAACAAGACTTCATGTTGCTTCTGGATGACATTCTCATTTAGCTTGCTGACTGCTTGCCTGCAGGTCAACCCCAAAGACCTCGACCCCAAGTTTGCCTACATCCAAGTGACCTTTGTCAAGCCCCACTTCGAGGAGAAGGAAGTGCCAGAGAAGAAGACGGACTTTGAGAAGTGCCACAACATCAACCGCTTCGTGTTCGAGACGCCGTACACGCTGTCGGGGAAGAAGCACGGCGGGGTGGAGGAGCAGTGCAAGAGGAGGACCGTCCTCATAAGTACATAGAACACGTTTAGAAAGCAAACACGAGAAGAACGTCTCATAGAGTTTTGCATGTGGATACGCCACATTAGTAACACATTCTTCCTCGTTACCCCCGTTGCACATTTCAAAGGCAAAAAAAACACCTAGTAGCAGTGTGCAGAAACATGGGTCTTTTTTTGTAGTTGCACGTCTGCCTACTGAATTATCAATAAATACTGAACTGTATTAACAGCTGGTTACTGTAGCAAGTGACAGCTGGACATTAGTCTCCTCTGAGCAATGAAAAGCACCTTTTATATATCTATTTATCTATTTCTGTTTATGTATGCTGAATGCTTGTGTCTCTCATTGTTTGCGCACACAAAAGTTCATATGTCCACGGCTGCTCGGGCATGTCAGAATTCACCTGAAGATCACCTCTATAACATGTCACTGTCTCTTTTTTTGTTGATTTTTCTGTCATTGTTTGTTGTATCTGCAGCGTAACATGACCTAACAGGTTCTGCCTGTGCTCTTGTCTTTAGCTGCCAACACTTTCCCATATGTGAAGAAGCGGGTGGAGGTGGTGGCTGAGAAGCAGGTGGAGCTTAAGCCGGTAGATGTGGCCATAGATGAGATGAAGGCACGGACGGCGGAGCTGATCAAGCTCTGCTCCAGCCAGGAAGTGGACATGATCCAGCTGCAGCTCAAACTGCAGGGCTGCGTCTCTGTGCAGGTAAAGGCGAAAAAAAAA